AGCACACATGGAGAGAACATGCAAACTCCATGGAGAAAAGCTCCAGACTGGAGCTGAACCTGAAAACCTTCTGCTGCAGGGCAACAGTACTTGYTCCTCTGTGCAGGAAGAAAACTCCAACTTACAAATACTGACAGTTATTAAACACAGCAAAGCTGGCTCACAGCATGYCAGAACCTTCACTGGCTTTTACTGTGAGTGTGTGTTTGACACACAGATCTATTGCATTTCTAAAAAAACTCTTTTTACAAATGATTATCTTGTAACTGAAGCTTGTGGATTAAACTTTTTATAAACATAGTGTTTGCTGTTTTGCACCTTTGTCTGTCTTTAAAGTGAGCACTTGTCAAATAATAATGGGTCTTTTTCCCCTCAATCTTTTGTGACGTTCTGAACATCTATCCTATTCCAGTTGTGACAAAAGRTAGAAAATCAGAGACTCTTATTGCAGAGAATAACATGAAAATCAAGCTGAAGGAGGGCTTGTGTGTGTTTTTCCCTGTTTGAGTTGAGGAAAAGGTGACAAAGTTGTTTTTGAAATGATTTCTTTAAAGTTTCTAACGTGTTTGATTACACAGAAATTGTATAAAAATTTCTGGCAACCAAAACCTGAACATGACTGTATTTCATTAAGGAAATTAGTCATTATTCTTTTTTTTTTCCACACGAAAAAATCATTCACACTCTTTTCCTGCTCGGAGCACGTGTTAGAGTCAAATGACAAATGTGTTATAAACTGTTGACACTGATTTCAGTAACCAGATGTGAGGCCTTTGATGAGTTCAACAAACTGTTCTGAAAATGTCCTGAAAGCCTAAAAGAGAAGCCCAACTTCTCCAAAGTAGAGCATTTATGTGTCTGAACCTTCACAGCTTTAGAGCTTCAGTAAGTCACAGAAAGRCTTTTAGACATCACTTACAGTATTGCTATTTCCTGCAATTGAAGCCCTTTCTATGGATCAAATAGATAGATAAATGAATATTTTTTTATTATTATACAGGCATAGTCTGTATAATAAACGTTTGTGATATTTCCTCTTATACAGCCAGCGGTGGGTGGAGTACCCAAAAGATGTACTCAAGTAAGAGTAGCACTACTTCAAGTAAACTTTAGCTGTTCAAGAAATTAATCAGGTATGAGTAAAGAAGTATTTTGTATAGATACTACTTGAGTACAGAGTAAATGATATTTAAAAATGATGGTGTCAGAATGACAAAAAAACAGACAAATTCTAGACAAATTCTAGTGTATAAATAAATTTTAATACAGACAAAAACATAATTACAAAATAACAAATTCCATAAAAAGAAAAGAGTAGCACTACTTCAAGTAAACTTTAGCTGT